GTTCACTGCTCAGCATATCTCGTTCTTTATTTCAGGGACAGAATTTTTGAGATTGCCATGTCATCACTTCTTTTGTGTAAAATGCATGACAACTTATGCTGATGTGCACGTGAAGGAAGGCACAGTGAATAAGCTGCACTGTCCCAACACCAAATGTGGTGGTATGATCCCTCCTGGTTTATTGAAACGACTGCTGGGTGATGAAGAGTTTGAACGTTGGGAATCATTGATGCTACAAAAATCCCTTGATGCAATGCCTGATGTAACTTATTGCCCCAGATGTGAAACAGCATGTCTAGAAGATGACGACCAGCATGCTCAATGCTCAAAGTGCTTCTTTAGCTTCTGTTCTCTTTGCAGGGAACGACGTCATGTGGGGATAGCATGCATGACCCCAGAGATGAAGCTTAAATTCTTGGAGGTAAGACTTTTGAGATCCCATTCTATATAACAATATTTATTGTGTCTGTAGTCAACCCCCTCCATGTATACCCTTATCTTCAGATTCACATAAGCTATCTTTTATGCAGGTTGTTTGTGTAGAACTTGTAAATAGGGTCCATGGAGCTTCACATCAACTTCAGTGTTTACCCAGTTTGGTCGTTAGAAACACTATTTTCCTTTTAGAACAATATAAACCAGTTAGTCTAAAACCTTTTAGCAACCTTTGTTCTCCTTGTTCACTGCTCACAGTGCTCAGCATACTTCCAAAATACAATAAAAACATCTTGACAAACCTCTTATAGCTGGGTCATCACATGGTGGATTGAGGGATATCTTCTTCACAAAAGAGCCGAATTATGTCAAATTAGGCTATATTTAGTTCACCTTATAGGAAAAAAAAGTTTAGATCATATCAGATTATAAGATTTGAACATACTTTATCGTTTATGTGCGATTTATTTATCGCTAAATATCTTTAGTTTCGTAATGAATATTTTTTTTTTTTTGAAAATTACATATTTGGAAAATATACATGAATACAAATCTATAAGACCCCAATTAATATATTCCCTTATGGATTAGCATACTTATAAGGAATTACTATTTTAATCCAATTTTCCCATTGTACTAAATTCGATAATGGATATTGATTAATGTCTTAAAAGAAGTGTGTAATCCCTTAAAAAAAGCATTTAGCTTTCCCTGTTCATATCACGGTGGGTGTTGTTTGAGAAAATCACTTGACTACATTGCTATATTACATTCAAAGAAAAGGAACCTTTGATTCTTGAAATTTGGTGTTTCAGCTTTCATTTGAAAAGTAAATGAAAGTTTTCACATTGTTAAGTTTATGCATGCAGGACCGCCAAAATTCATCCCTTCTTAAAGATGCACAAAGACGCAAGGAGCTTGATATGATTAATGAACTTCGTAGTGTGAAGGAAATACTCCGTGATGCCAAGCAATGCCCATCCTGTAAGATAGCTATTTCTAGAACCGATGGGTGCAACAAGATGGTGTGTAGTCAGTATGGGCAGTACTTTTGTTACTGTTGCAGCCAAGCAATTAGTGGATATGAACATTTCAGGTTTATACTTAGATGATTTGCTGTAAATGTTCCTAATATTTCTTATGGAAAATTTCACTCAATTGACAATTCTCTGCTATTTGAAGGGAGGGAGGGTGTCAACTTTTTCCTCAAGAAGCGATTGTGCAGTGGGAAGAGCAGATTAATGCCCGTCAACTTATTGGTCAGATTCAAGCTCATCTTTTTGCTGCAAATGCACGGCCTTGTCCTGGATGTAAGCAGTTGAATGTTAAGGTGAGTCCTACATGAGTTACATCTAATTGGTTAGTTCCTTATGGTACAAATGTACAACGTATTACAGCTATGATACACAACAGCAACTCTAATGAATTCTTGGCTAAATATCGTAACTGTGTATAGTAGATGTTGGGCAAAATGAGTCCAGCATTATATATGGAGTATGTCTATTGCATTCAGACATATAAGTTTCATTTTCTTGTTCTGACAGGTTGGAAACAATAATCACATCTTCTGCTGGGCATGCCAAAACCATTACTGCTACCTTTGCAGAAAGATGGTGCGACGTAGCTCTGAGCATTATGGACCAAAAGGATGTAAGCAACATTCAGAAGGGTAGGTAAATGGATCACGGAGAGGGAAATCTAGTAATTGTCTACCTTGAGGTCAGCTGAAACTTTCTTCTTCCGTTGGTAGGGAAAGCAGTGCTGTCTTGGTGAATTCTTTTTCATACATTGAGTTCTACTTTTAATGTGGAATTCTATAGTGGTACTTTGATGAGTTTTGCTCAAGTTATGTAGTGTTTTATATATTAATTTGTGTGCTTTACCGCGCTAGATGAGTCAGCTACAGATTATCTTATTGAGGCAACCATAAATTTCTTGCTACATATGATTTTAGGTTGTTTTTTTTTTCTTTTTTTTTCTTTTCTTTTTCTGGAACAGTATTTATTCACATTTAAGCCCTACAGAATACAGAGCTATTGTTTTACAGTTATATTTTCATCAATACAAAAACAAGATTAGCAATTAATGGATTGAAAGACTTAGATTCGTCTTAAATGGATATTGTGCTGGTTACATAGATTATTTTTTCTTCTATGTTTTTTGCATATCATGTCCCCCTGGGGATGCCTTCTTTAGTATCCATTGTAGTATTGTACTGTGTTGTTGCAGCAGACATAAATTCTTCATCTGATTCAAGAGCGCTCATTGATTTAGGTGGTAGACATATCTCTAGATCCACACTTCCTCCCCCTTCATATCCTGGGTAGGCAGTCACTTTGCCAACATATTTGTTTGCATACCCACTTCGAACTGCTACTGCTTTCCCAAGACCAAATTCATTTCCATACATGTCAAACCTTGGAGAGCTTCCCATCATCACACTGTAAGGTTCAAACATCTTGCCTGGCTGGTAAACAAAAGGAGACTGGAGCCATCCAATGATGAATTTGTGCACTGTTTTATCACTGTGGTTTACCACTGACTGGTGCAGCAATGACGCTGCCCACCCTAAGTTGTGCCCAAGTAGTTCACCAGCAGTAGTAGTAGTTGTCAGTGCAGTAACGCAGTTTCCTACATATTCTGGAGGCAGAGGAGGATCTAACCTCTGTCTGTTATTGGCCGCAAATCTGCAATTCGTGATCTGATCTCCAGGTAGGCAGTTTGCTCGAACAATTGACCTCCAGACGAGTGCTGAGAGGCTCTGGAAGGAGGAAATGCTGTTGTTATTGCTTTCTTTGTTAGCCTTGGCTTTTAGTCTTGCTATAGACTCTGGGGAGAAATGGAAGATTCTCTCTCTGAGCTGCCCTACTTCATACCTGCTTACAAATTCGTTAGGATGAGTAAAAGGTAGGGGGATAGCCGGGCCATACCCATCAGGAAACCAACGTTTATGATTGGGAAGACGTGAAACAAGCAGCTGCTTGCCATTAGCTCTATGTATTTCGGACCATATCTTCCAGAAATGCCAGTATGAGGTTCCATCTACAACCACATGGTTCATGGAACAACCAATAAAAACCCCATCCTTGAGCTCAGTGACCTGGATTGATAACAGTGGCCTTTTATGACCGTCATGGTTAACAGCCCGATCATGGTCAAAAAGTGACTGAACAACCGGAGGAACATCAACTGGTGATAGAATTTCAGATATGGTCATATCTAATGTGGCATAAATAAACCTAGCTCCAGGTCCCTTTTTGCAATCTACAAAAACTAAGCATTCATGCCGATTTTTGCTGATACGTGTGGCTAGCTGCCCTGCGAGTGGATAAAATGGACGAGGGTGAGTGAAAGAGACTCTTTCAGACTCTGAAGGAGTTTGTCAGCTGAAAATTCTTGATCATTCATATATGAAGGTTTGATGAAAAGAAGACCCTTTTGAATATAGTGGAAATTGAGCATGGCCAGATCCATGGGAGCCAAGTAGTAAGGTTGCTTGGCTTCTTGCACCTCATACTTTGGTTTGATGAAGCATTCTGAGACGTGTTTAACAGTAGCCCAACTCATATTTCTGTTTTTGAGATGACTGAGATTATAGGTAGATTTTTGATTCATTGAATGAAATTTAATATAGCATTAGGCCTATATATATAGAATATACTAGTGAAAATTCTGAAAATTTTGAAACCTGCGTATTTGTTTTGTAGCATGGCCTCTGAATGTGACTATTCTGATGTTACAAGCAAAGGGCAACGTGTTTAAAGCTTAATAATGATTATATAATGGTTACAAATTAAATTTTCTTTTCAAAAAAATACCGCGTTACTCTCTTTGTTCGAATAAGTCACGTTAGTATAATATGAGTTGCTAATGTGATAACTGAATCCGAACATACAAGTTTTACTGATGTGGGGCACCAAGAAAATTGAGAGAAGAAACTACTAGATGACAATTACTTCGGATTAGATAATGATGCAGTGATGATCAGTTTCGGAGGAGAATTTAAAAGAAAAGTTACTTACTGGTGTGGGGCTATTAGGTTGAGAAATAGATATAATTGTCATATTTGTCAAATACAATGCACTCCATAATTCTATATGCATTACTGGAGATTTCAGAAGAACCAAAATTTACGGAAGGCTTTTCTTGTAAGCTCAGAACTCTCTTGTCATGGTTGGATAAACCTGCTTTGACTTTTCCCACGAGAAAATGCGAAGGTCAGGGGGGTTTTACTTTTTAGATGACTATTCCGAAGTAATATATCCATTGTATTTAGACCTGGCAATTCTGACTCAAACCCGATGACCCGAAATTGACCCTAAAACATTGACTCGAAAATGACCCGACCCGAAAATAGAGTTGACTCGATCATGACCCGACACTCAAACTAACCCGACCCGAAGTTGACCCGAAGTGTTTGACCCAAACAAACCTGATACCCAAAATTGACCCAAACAGACCCGATACTCGAAATGTCCCGAACTAAAACTACCTTATAATTGAATCTAAAATGTCTTGTACTAAAAGTAACTCAAATTGTTCATCTTCAACTGTAGCTAAGCTCATAAACTGAATTGATAGTTTTTATTATAACAATAACAAAATATATACTCCGTATTTAACAATTCATTTGAGTTTGATTCACAAATGAAACAACCCGTACATGACCCGACCAAATTTCGACCCGACCCGAACCTGACCCAAAGTTGACCCGACCCATACCCGATCCGAATGTTAGCTGACCCGAAATGATCCGACCCCGAATGACCCATTTGCAAGGTCTAATTGTACTATACTGTTGCGGCAGCCATAAATTCTTCATCTGATTCAAGAGCGCTCATTGATTTAGGTGGTAGACATATCTCTAGATCCACACTTCCACCCCCTTCATATCCTGGGTAAGCAGTCACTTTGCCAACATATTTGTTTGCATACCCACTTCGAACTGCTACAGCTTTCCCGAAACCAAATTCATTTCCATACATGTCAAATCTTGGTGAGCTTCCCATCGTCACACTGTAAGGATCGAACATTTTGCCTGGTCGGTAAACAAAAGGAGACTGGAGCCATCCGTCGATGATTTTGTGCACTATTTTGTCACTGTGGTTTACCACCGACTGGTGCAACAATGATGCTACCCACCCTAAGTTGTGTGCAAGTAATGCACCGGCAGTAGTAGTTGTAATCGTTGGAGTAACACAGTTACCAACGTACTCTGGAGGCAGAGGAGGATTTAACCTATGCCTGTTATTGGTAGCCAATGTGCAATTTGTGATCCGATCTTCAGATATGCAGTTTGCTCTTACAATCGATCTCCAGACGAGAGCTGAGAGGCTCTGGAAGGAGGAAATGTTGTTTGTATTGCTTTCTTTGTTGGCCTTGGCTTTCAGTCTTGCTATAGAGTCTCGGGAGAAATGGAAGAATCTCTCTCTGAGCTGACCAACTTCATACCTGCTTACAAATTCATTAGGGTGAGTAAAGGGGAGGGGGATAGCCGGCCCATGCCCATCAGGAAACCAACGTTTATGATTGGGCAGACGTGAAACAACAAGTTGCTTGCCATTAGCTCTATGTATTTCTGACCATATTTTCCAAAATTGCCAATATGAGGTCCCATCTCCAACCACGTGGTTCATGGAGCAGCCGATGAACACCCCATCCTTGAGCTCAGTAACCTGAACTGATAACAAAGGCCTTCTATGACCATCGTGGTTAATAGCTCGGTCATGGTCAAATAATGACTGAACGACCAGAGGAACATCAACTGGTGACAAGATTTCAGATACGCTCATATCTAAAGTGGCATAAATGAACCTTGCCCCAGGACCCTTGTTGCAATCTACAAAAATCAAGCATTCATGCCGATTTTCGCTGATACGTGTAGCGAGCTGCCCTGCCAGTGGGTAAAAATGGACAAGGGCGAGTGAAAGAGACTCCTTCAGGCTTTGAAGGAGTTTGCTGATCGAGAATTCTTGATCGTTTTTATGTGAAGGTTTGGTGAAAAGGAGGCCCTTTTGGATATAGTGGAAATTGAGCATCATCAGATCCATGGGAGCCAAGTAGCAAGGTTGCTTGGCTTCTTGTACCTCATACTTTGGCTTGATGTAGCACGCGGAGACGTGTTTAACACTTACTGAACTCATATTTGTGTGTTTTAGATTAAATGTGATTACAGGAAAACAATTTAATTTTGGCAATCACGGACTCACGTCTACTGAAACTTATTGCAGCAAAATAGGCCTATATATACTACGTATATAAACAATAGTAGTGAAAATTGGACGTGAATATTTGTGTTGCAATATGGCCTCTGAATCTGATAATGTTGTTGAATTATTATAACTGAGAATGATAGTTTTAGCTGATTGCGCTTGTCCCGTGACTCCCGTGAGACTCAACACTCAAGATAAACGTGTTCAAATTTCAGTAATGATTATAAGGCTGTGCTATAAACTTCATGATTTATCTTTTTTTTGTCAATGTACACATGTTGTGGTACCCTGGCCTACAGTACGAGTAGATTTTCACATTAAGGGTTTGCCTGGTGCTATGAGGGTAATAATAATCCTAAAAATTTAAGGGAGTACGGATTTATTTATTACTCTCTTTTTTTTTTTTTTTAATGAGAGTACGAAGTAATTATTGTTATTTCTCCCTCTATTCCTATTATTTTGTCCGTATTAACTTTGACCGTAAATTCTCATTAATGTATAAGAAATAATATAGTCAAGTGGGGTCTTATTGGATTCGTATCATTATATAAATTATTAATATCAAGGTTATAATAGAAATTGAGTTGTATATATTTTAAGACACGTTTTCAAGAACGTAAAAAGTCTAATAGGGGGAAAAAAAAAAGATAGATGGGAGTAAATTTTATGGGCATAAACATGTGAGGATATTATTTCATACCCGTATATTTACCTTCCATTTGAGGGTAATTCGTTACCCATAACGGCCCCTAGGATAACAGTATACTTGTAACAATTACTATTTACTACTCCTTCCATCCCTAAAAGAACGACTTTTTTGGCTAAATTTTAGTCCCAAAATATTCATCCCATTTGCATTAAAATATCCTCTAATTTGCAATGATATTTGTGCAAAATTAGCTTTCCCATATAAATTTTTCTTTTTCCATTTACTTTTATAACTTTTATAACTTTCTCTCTTTACTTTTTTACAAATTACATGTAAATTTACCTTTTCAATATATTTTATTAGCTTCTTCATACAATTGTACTTCCCACTTAAGTTTTTTAATACCCGTGAAAAATGCCCATAAAAGTCGTTCTTTTAGGGACGGAGGGAGTACTAGTAGTACATTGTAAATTTTTTCACTCTCAAGCCTTGACATTTACTCTCATTAGTCAACCCCATTCCTATACCACCATCTTCTCTCTCCACCACGGTACCACCGGTCTTTCTCTTGCTATCTTCGATTCAAGGGTGTAGAATTTGAATGGTTGAATTCAGTCATCAGATTCCATAACTAGAGTTTTAATGGTCGAATCAAATGTGCTTCAATGTTGATTTCATTGGTTTGTACTTACGTATGTGTTCATCATTATATCCATCTATTAAATTTTTTTTTTAATTGTACTTTATTTTTTATCATATTTTGAGACTTTTTTTTTTTATTTTTTTTATTTTCTGAAAGAAGATAGCTTGGACGATTTATTAAATCAAAATTTTTTTTTTCCGCCAACGACAAAATACCGTGGGGGAAGGACCCACACATATATACTCCGAATTACCGTAAGTATTCTATCTAGCAACCATATGGGCTATGGTGTTACATGTCATTTCCACATGAGAAATACTAAAATAGTCACACAAGGAGCTATCTATACACTAAATAAATTGGTGCAAAGCCTGAAGAGCGCCCTCTAACTACATTAACCACATTTGAGGCTATCACATTCGAGCATAACGTTTGTGTAGCCGAACCGTTTTTATGTACATTTAATTAAAGTAATTATAAAATCAGAATCTATACTTTTAATTAAAGTAATTATAAAATAGAAAACGGTACCGCGGGGAGATATGAAATATTAGGTCATGATACATTTTTTTTTCTCGGTGTTTAGAGAGCCATAAGGACAGGTTATTAGAATCGATCTCAAAATTGACTGGAATTGGGAGGAAGCTCTAACCACATGAGCTATCCCTCCAGTTTCTCTTAGGTCATGATATATTGATACCGCAACAAGATTATTTATTGAGGAGATCTTAGCAACACGATATCCTGACAAGATTATTTATTGAAGTGGGTGGGGCGTCAAGAATATTATGTTGCATTTGTAATTGACATGAACATGGCCTACGAATTTGATAAGACGTGGAAAAACGACGATGAAAGGAAAAAAATATATACTTTCTTCGTTTTAGTAATACAACTTTTGTGCTATTTATCATGATTGTTTGACCGTAAATTATGATTTATATGTAAAGTAAAATATAGTCATATGGGGTCTTATTAGATTCGTCTCGTAAAATACTTTCACAATATCAACTTTTATAATTTTTACTCTTATATAATTATAGATAGTTAACATATAAAATGTGCTTTTGAATGCGGAATTTCATCCTTGTAATAATATTTGTGGAACAGTGGAAGTATATACAAAGGATAATACTTGTGCGTCGTATAATTTTTGGGAATTATTCTACGGAGTATTTTACTTGATAGATATGACAAATACGTACGGAGTATATATACATTATTGCATTGTTGTACTAGCCGATGAGCGGAAGAAAACATTCTTATTTATGATAGTATTATTTTGGTCATGTTTTCATTATCAATAAGAAAACGAAGTATTTAGCAAAAGTAAGTTAAATTTAGTAAAAACAACTAGTGTGTGGCCCAGGTGATCCCCCGAATTGTTACTTTGAATACTTAGAATAGATAGGCTCATTCGTTATTATTTTTTTATTTATTATTTGTTTATTTATAATAGTTTTTCATTAAACTTTTGAATAAATTATTTATGAAACAACTATTGACTGATTATATAACTATGTTCTTTGTATATAATTTATAATATAATGAAAATAAAGACATAATTATTATCAAAATAGTAAAATAAGTAAAATTAATTTATAATAATAGTTAATTTTTCTTGTTTGTATTACCTCAGCTCATCGATGAGCATTATTAGCCAATAATAAAATCGATATGTATATATATATATATACCACTCGCTACTAAGGGTAAAGTAAAATAGGTTGAAAAAGGAGTGAAAGAAAAAAAAAATGTGAAGTTCGAGGATCTTGATGGTGAGGATGGAGGATTGAATTTAGGGGATGTTGTTGATGAAGTACAAGGATCAAAGTCTGTTGTTTATGGGACGTTGCGTAATAGGATGTCGCCTTCATTTGTCGTTAAAATGTTGTTAAGGAGCTTTCGGAAGATCAGTTGATTACTAATAGAGCTATAGGATTTGGGTCCTTAGAGTTTTTGAAAGTGTCCCAACTGCCTTTGCAGTTGAGTTTTTGGTAGGTCAAGCACTTTGATGCTCAGAGTTGTTCCTTGAATATTCCTTATTTCGAGCCTTTCAAAATTACTGAACAACATGTACATGAGGTCCTAGGGTTGCCAGTTGGAGGCATATATGGAGATGGATGCAAATGTTTTTTCCAAGGATAATAAAGTCATTACCCAATGGAAAAAACAGTTCAAAAAGAACTCATTATCTGTCAACATTGGGGAGCTTTCGATATATTTGAAGGACCATAATCAGCTGGGCCAATGTTCAAACGCAATTTTGTAGTTCTTTGTGTTCCCACTTTAATGTCAGGTATGTTCGATTTCTATATGTTCGATAAATAATGAGGGGATGTGCTAAAAATATTAAATCTTATATGTATATAAAAGTATCACTACACTTTTTTAGGAAATTTCTAATATCATGATGACTCAATTCACCACAACCTCTACATAATCTCTTCTTTTTCTGGTTTTGTTCTACAACCTTTTCTTTTTCTCCCTTCAGCCTTTTTGCACTTCTACCTCTTGTTTCAACATTTGACACATCAATCTCAGCCCCTTTCTTTTTTGAAGTCTCTTCATTTGATACATGAACTCCAGTCCCTTTATTCTTTGAAATTTTTGGAGGTTTGACAATTATTTCAGTTGGCAGACTAGCTCCACTCAATAGCTCAATGTCTTGTTCTTTGTTGTTTGCACTTCCAGCTGTTGTTTTATTATTTCTTGCAATCCTCTTAACCTCCAAATCCTTTCTTGCAATTCTGCACCCCCTTCCTCCCTTAAACAAGAACACACACACACACACACACACACACAACTTGTAATAGAATTTGAAATCAAATTTTGAAATTAGATTCAGAAATCAGACTTTGAAATCAGTTTCCAAAATCAAAATTTGAAATCAGAATTAATATCAACTACTGAATTGAAATGTGACCAAGGAGAAGGGGGAGAGGGACAGGTTTGTGTAGGCAAGTGGCAGTTGGGGGTGGGGCTGGAATTTTCTAATTTTTTTTTTTTTATGTATTAATTGTTATTTGTTTGTTTAATTTTAATGTACAAATTTTTCTTATCTTACTTGTTTGTAGCTTGTATATGTTGATCAGTTTCTCATTAAGGATGTTAGAACCAAACGAGAAACTCCAGTTCTGAAAGGTTGGACAACCAATATGTTGTCCAGTTGTGAGCAATTGGAAATTTATAAGGGGAGGCTTGGACTTGTTGATAAAAATCTAAAGGTTGTTGGTCCTTCTGGCAACAAACAACCAAAACTGGTATTTCACTTTCAAATAATTAATATTAATTATTTAGGACATCTACGTAGCTTTTCTGATCTCTACCTTTGGCATTGCTTCTAGAACAGAATTGTTACAAATCTTGCCTTTGCTTGTAGAATAGAATAGGTATAAATATCGCTCTTTTGTTAAATGAGCAAATAATTTATTGCTAATTTCACAAATGAGCAAATAATGCATCTGTCTATATTTGTTTGAGGTATTTGGTATCAACATGTTCTTACTTTCTTTTTCTTTTTTTGTTTTGTGTTTTGTTTTTAGGAAACATCGGTTCCAGTTGGTCCACAACATGAACAAGATCTAAAGAAGGTAGTTAAATCAGTTTTGAAATCAGTTTTTTTTTTTTTATCAGAATTTGAAATCATAACTGAAATCAGATTCTGAAATCAGATTGTGAAATCCAGGAAATGAGGAGCAATAACTTTTCTATTCAATGATCATTTGTCAAATGAGCAATTAATTTTTTGCTCATTTGTTAAATGAGCATAAACTTTACTATTGATTTGTGTAATTAAATTTAATTTGCTCATTTTATATGACTTTGATTATTTGATATTCACTTTTCTTATTTCTTATTTAGTCT